GGGGGGGGGGGGGGTCCCCTCCCTGCGGTTAGGGTGGATTCGCAAGCTGCAAGCGCTCCGATTTATGCCGTTTATGATACTCGATGAACCCGTTACCACTTCACGTAACGGGGGGGCACTGATAAACCTTCCACTCACCCTCCCCTCTCGAGCGAGTGCGAGCCGCTGAAACCCGTGAGATTTCCTTCGTAGTTGACAGATCTCCATATCCGTTGCCCCGCCGCAGTCCCCTGCCGGCGCACCCGTTGAAAGCCCGTCCTTGGTCGCCTGCCGTTTGCCCCCCTCGGACACGTCGTCGCCACCCTTGCCGGTTCCTCCACGCGGCTCCTCTGGGCCGCATATTCCACCGTTTCTGCCCTTCTCGTGGTCCATGGTGTCTTGTCCATGTCCATCACCCCCACTTTGTTGGCTTCCACCCGTTTCGCCAGGCTTTTTACTTGTCATGGTCGCTGCCGGCTAGCTTGCCCCCACTACCCACTCCAGAACCCCCACCCTCTCCCTTCTTCCCGCCGTCGGTCGCCCCCTGTTGTTGTTTCCGCCTTCGGCGGCGCGCCTCGGCCTCAGACGCCTCTTCCCTCCGCTTCCGCTCCACGGACTCTTCGTCCTGAGGACGATTGTGAGCAACGCACGAACATGACCACGCACGCGAGTGATTGGAGACTCCACTTGCATTCATAGTGGCCACGAATTCCTCGCTTTATGCTTCTTCCAACGTTCAAAAGGTAGGATGGGATCTCGGCCCCTGCGCGGCAACATAGCGACGTTATCCTCANCGCTGCCGGCTAGCTTGCCCCCACTACCCACTCCAGAACCCCCACCCTCTCCCTTCTTCCCGCCGTCGGTCGCCCCCTGTTGTTGTTTCCGCCTTCGGCGGCGCGCCTCGGCCTCAGACGCCTCTTCCCTCCGCTTCCGCTCCACGGACTCTTCGTCCTGAGGATGACTATGAGGAAGGCACGAACATGACCACGCACGCGAGTGATTGGAGACTCCACTTGCATTCATAGTGGCCACGAATTCCTCGCTTTATGCTTCTTCCAACGTTCAAAAGGTAGGATGGGATCTCGGCCCCTGCGCGGCAACATAGCGACGTTATCCTCAGTGTCTGCTGCATCGAAAGGTACACTGGAATATCGTCTCCTGTGCCAACAGCAGAGACAAATACACCCACAACAGCAGAGACAAATACACCAACGGCATGGAACCCTTCTTCGTACCCCCCTCAAAGCGATCCTCATGTCGGCGACAAGAGTCTCCTCAAGATCCGGCGCCTCTTCAGCTTGTGCCACTGCGGTTTGCGCTTTCTTCAAGCCCTCACGCGCGGCTGTAACCATATCGGCAAAGGCAGCAACGGCTAGGGCATGCGCTCCGGCGGCAGTGTCGGAGGACAATGACCAAAAGTGGTTGAGCTCCGGCAGGACACCGCCGTTCCGGTCCCGCCAACCAGGCGCGTCGTTGAAGTTAGGGCGGTAGTCCGCACTGGACATTATCGTCATAACCACATGAACTGCTGGGTGTGTACGCCCAGGTCGAACGGTAAACAGCGGTTGGAACAGGGTGTGTGTTAACGAAACTCCGCATGTAGGCGTAAGGCTGCGGTCTGCAGTACAAAAGGCCATCGGGAAGTAGAAGTCGGGAGAGCCCCGCGTGACACTGCTGCTGACACGCACACATTTCCCGCCCCGAGGACCTCCATGAGCATAACGGGCAAAAATCGGAGATAATCACGCGTGGCACACGACGTGCGTCATACACATCAACAATGGGCCCATCACAACGTCAAGATACCCAGGCTCACCCGACAAGACTGTGACGTACATGATTGGTTGCGGTAGGATAGGCACAAGACACCACAAAGGCCACTCTGCTGACAATTGCGACAAATAACTCCGTAGTTTGACTACCACAGAATGGCCCTCTTCCCAACCTTAGACACTGGACACATCGAGTGACTTCCCGCGTCGGTGTGACGTTGAAAGCAGTATCATGTCCGGGTAAATGGCACTGGCGAACAATCGATGGCGTTATTTATGTAGTAGACGGTTAACGATGGAGAGATGACAACTACACGGAACGAAATCTCGGAGGGGCGCCTGGATGACAGTCGCCAGCAACGGGAAGGCGAACTGCTGCAGCCAGTTACAATTCCCGGCAACGTGCTTGAGCTGCGCAACGAACATCAGCCGGGCACAATTACGAAACCCCAGCCGGTGCTTGCCATCGGGGTTGGGTTTTCGTCGCTTGACAACGACGTTGTAAAACAAGCCGCCCCCCCCCCCAGTGTTTGCCATCGGAGTTGGGTTTTCGTCGCTTGGCAACGACGTTGTAAAACAAGCCGCCCCCCCCCCCAGTGTTTGCCATCGGAGTTGGGTTTTCGTCGCTTGGCAACGACGTTGTAAAACAAGCCGCCCCCCCCCCCAGTGTTTGCCATCGGAGTTGGGTTTTCGTCGCTTGGCAACGACGTTGTAAAACAAGCCAATTCACTTCGTAAACTCGGCAACCAGGTTACCGTTATTTTTTTACCTCCGTCTTTTTTTGGCGGTAACCATTATGGTGGTCGAGTAGATGATGTTGTGCGGGGTCGAGAACCCTCACTGCGCGCAAGAGGGATGATCGCACCACGTTGTGTTAAAATGGTCAAGCACCCTCGAGGCAGTTACACAGTGCTTACAACTGTCTCTGGAAGTGAAAGCACCAGAAAATAAATTAGGTCATACACAGCTGTCATCCGTACGCAAGGAAGTAAGCACAAGATGCCGAAAACCCTTAGCAGGATGCAGCGCACCCTTCATGCGACTCGTCGAAAACCTGAGGTATTTTGACATGAGAAAACGACAAATTGACACGAGCGCCATCGCATACACACGAAGGCATCAACTCAGTCGGCAAGCTCGCACGCAGCTTC